ATTCCTTAGATTGCATTCTGCCAAGAAATAAAGGTCTGTATTCTATATCTTTACGTCTTTGAACCTGGGAACAATTTTGAGATAGGCTTGTAAAAAAAAGTAATAAATAAATGTAATCCCAGGACGTGCATATACACAAAACTTTGGACAGAAAACAATCAACAAATATCAAGTGCCTTTACTGTAATTAAAAAAACCCCAAACATCTCTGCATTTATGCCTATGTACTTTAGCATACAAAAAGGTCATGAGATTTAGAGAACAGCCGCAATTATTAAGAGGACAAATTTAAAGGACAATTATAATAGCTAATTACTGTAGGCAAATGGTACACTATGAAAAAGAGGTACAATCAGCTGTCTATTAGAATGCTAAAGATAAATTTGGGGCCATTTTCATGGTGATTGAAGGACAATGGTACAGAAGTACCTTCATGGAAGCAATTCTAGGAGACTGAAAACTGGACAGCATAGAACTGTGGAGTCTGCATGGTTTGTGGGGGAGAAGGGAATTATGTTGGACTTTATCTAGTCCAATCATGACAGTAACAGAGCTAGATGGGGTCTTATCATGAGGCTCTGTCATAACAAGAAAAGAAGGTATTACTGATGAGGTCACACTAACTTAGTTTGAGGAATGATCATATATCTGTGATTATGAATGGCACATACACATTGAACCCAGATATTTTTCTCAGCCAAATTTGAAACACGTGACCAAAGATGGCTTTACAAACTTCAAAAATTATAAAGGGACGCATTACACAGTAGAAGGGGTACAGCAACATAATTGACAACATGAGCTCTGAAAGTCAGACTGCCTGCGTTTATAACCCAGTCCTGCCACTTACCAGCTGTGGGAGCTGGGGGCAAATTTAATGCCTCAGGTTCCTCAAACGAAAAGCAGAAGTAATAACAGGATGTACTTCACAAAATTGTGGTGAGGGTTATAACACACACAAAGTACTCAGAAAAAAAGAGTCTGGCACATGGTAAGCTCTCAATAAATGCTAGCTATTAATATGCTTCTGGAAGTCATAGAAAAAATCAGGAAACAAATTGACTTTTGAAAGGCTCAAATACATTTAGGAATGGGAAATCAATATATGGTTACTCACAAAACTGGGACATACCCAACCTTAAGGTTGGTGATGTCTGGACAGGATGAACCAGTACAGCAATGCCCATTTTCCATAAGTTTTCAACTCTAGAAGGTAATGACCATTAGGTTTGATAACACTTTCATTACTTTTGCAAAAGGCATAAGAGCAATATGGGAAAAAGGGGATAGGGAAGAGAGAATTAGATTGGCAGGTAAGGTGATGTTCTTAGAAATACCATTGTGGTCAGGTGTGCAAAGTTGGTTAAGTTACCATTGTTGGCTAGGATTTCAAATCTATGTAAAAAAAAAAAAAAAAAAGTGAAGGGGATAGGTCTAGCACTCCACCTTCAGTTATGGCACTTTTCCCTTTACCCATGACACTCCAAAAAGGCATTCTTTCAGTTCCAGGACAAGGCCAAGCTCTTTCCTGCCTCAGGGCCTTGGCAGATTGATCCCCCTTAAGCTTAGAACACTGTAACTCCCTCACCACTTTCCTTGTGGCTACTTCTTCATCCTGAAATTCCCAACTTAAAAGTCACTACTGTTGCCACCATTATTTAGAGTAAGTTTCTCCTGGGGTGCCTGGGTGGCTCAGTTGGTTAAGCGTCTGACTTGGGCTCATGATCTCACAGTTCACGAGTTTGAGCCCTGCATTGGGCACTCTGCAGGGAACCCGCTTCAGATCTTCTGTCCCCCTCTCTCTCTACCCCTCCACCAGTTGTACTCTCTCTCTCTCTCAAAAATAAAAAATAAAAAAAAAAGAAAGAAAAAGGAACATCTGGTTGGCTTGGTCGGTTGGGTGTCTGATTTCAGCTCAGGTCATGATCTCATAGCTTGGAAGTTCAAGCCCTGCATCAGGTGGTCCTGACAGCTTGGAGCCTGGAGCCTGGTTTGGATTCTGTGTCTCCCTCTCTCTCTGCCCACCCCAGCTCATGTTCTGTCTCTCTCTCTCTCCTTCAAAAATAAATAAACATAAAAAAAAATTTTTTTTGAAGTAAATTCCCCTTGTTACTTTCTACCTTAGCAACCTGTTTGCTTCTTGCACTGCCCAGCATTTACCACAATTATTATTTTAAATAATTGAATTATTATTTTTTTTTGCTTATTTTTTATGTTTTCTTCACTAAATAGTTCCAGGATGGTAGTGAACATCTTTGCTCAATATATTATCCTCAGTTAAGCTTACCATTCAGACTAGCACATAGTAGGCACTCAAAAAAAAATCTGCTGAATCAATCATGAAGCAGTGATTCCTAAGAGCGCTTACAGCTATGATTACACTAATCAAATGGCTCCATTGCAAGAAGTTTAGTTGGAACTTGACTGATGTAATGTTAGTGATTAGCACCTTCTCCAATGACTTTGTAAGTTTTGCTTTCAGTTTTGCCTTACTCATTTTAACAACTGGTCATCTAGGCCCAAACTTCTACCCAACAATGGATTGGCTACATAACAATTATCTGAGGAGCTTATTAAAAATACAGATTTTTGGATCAAAACTCCAGAAGATTCTTAGTTAGTACTTGTGTAATGAGGCTCTAGAATCCATATATTTAAAACTTTGTTTATTTTGAATAATGTTATGTGTGTAGTACACAATTCAAAAAGTACAAAAAAAGTTTATTGTGAAGTCTCCCTTCTATTCCTGTGGCATCAAGTTTCCCTTGCCATAAGTTACCACTGTTTCAGTTTCTTATGTATTCTTCCAGATAATTATTTGCCTACATGAGCATGTATAAATCCTTTGCTTTCAAAACATCTGAATATTTATTTTTTTTTAATTTTTTTTCAACGTTTATTTATTTATTTTTTGGGGGGACAGAGAGAGACAGAGCATGAACGGGCGGGGCTCGAACTCACAGACCGCGAGATCGTGACCTGGCTGAAGTCGGACGCTTAACCAACTGCGCCACCCAGGCGCCCCAAAACATCTGAATATTTAAAGAATTGTTCCAACTTTGCTTTTTCTACTCGTACTCAACAAAACGTTGAAGGTGAAGTTCCCTGTCTGTTGAACAAGCATCCTAGGTGATTCTGATGTGAAGCCAAATATGAGTAACCATTCAGTGGCCTAGGGTTAAGAGACTGAGTTTAACTCACTAAGATACATTAGAAACTCAAGGACATTGAAAAGATGCCCTCAAAAGTAGCCTTGCTTACTTGACCTCTGCCCTCTTGCCTTAACCATGAGGCAGAGAGAAGGAGACACAGAATCCGAAGCAGTTTCCAGGATCTGAGCTGTCAGCACAGAGCCTGACGCGGGGCTTGAACCCACAAGTGGTGAGATCATGACCTGAGCTGAAGTCGGCCGCCTAACCGACTGAGCCACCCAGGCGCTCCAAGGACACATTTTCTAATGCGTCCATAAAAGCCAGGAAAGACTAGCCATTTAAGCGAATGTTGCCAAAGTTGTTCAATTTTTCAATTCCTAAAATCCTTTCCTGCCCAATATCACCTGAAATCGCAAACTCGACCATTTCTATGTTAGATGAGACATTTTTGGTATTTGGCTTATGATGAGGTTTGATGTGCAGTGAACTAGGGCTGATTTTCTCTCCTGGCAGTTAAGTAGTTTAATGGAGCACAACCGAAATACTTCCTTTACTAACCCTTACTGACACAACAGTATCCAGTCCTCCGCGAGAACTGCTTTCTAACCATCTGGGCAAAAGCAATTAACTTAGAAACTGTAGAGAAGACCGCATCGTCAGGTCAGAACTTGGTGAATTCTCGAGTCCGGACTCCAGTAGACCTGACTTCACCTCTACCTGGGGGCGATGGCTGGGCCCCTTGTGCAGCTCTAGCTTCCTATTCCCATCTACCCCAGAGACTGCAGTTTCCTTTTGGCACGGAGGGAAGGCTCTCTAAGGGCCACCCCGGAATCTCCTCCGCAGTGTCCCTTTCATCACGAGGGGCACCGCGCGGCAGGCACCCTCACCTCCCTTACACTGCGCCGAGGAAGGAGTGTAAAGGGTTCCCCAAGTGAGGCAGGGAAGACGCCGGGATGCAGCGCCAGCTTAGCTTGCGGCTCTGAGGGGCAGCGGGAGGGCGTGACTCCTCCGTCCCTTCCTCCTGGACTCAAACGTCAAGACAGAAAAAGTGGGGTTCAAGGCGCCCAAACCTCAGACCTCTCCCTTCTCCACTCGGGCTTTTCTCCATCCTCTGGGCCCCGCGTCTCCCCCTGAGCCGTGGTCCAGGCCTCCCTACCTCGGCCGGCCGTCCCGGCACCCTCTCGCCCGCCCCCAGCCCCCTCACCCAGCATGATGGGGCTGAGCCGCCGGGCCAGGCCCTTGGACAGGTCGTACACGTAGAGCTTCACCGGATAGAGATTCGGCGGCTCCATCGGGACCCGTGGCGGCGGTGGCCACGAAGTCCCTCAGGCACCCGGTAGCAGCTTGGACCTTCCCGTACCCGACGGGGGTGGGGAGCGCAGGGAGCGGGGAACCGAGCCCAGGCCCGGCCTGAGGGGCGGGGGAAAGGCGGCCCTGCGCTGCACGCGCCCCGACACCCGCCACGGGCAACGACTACTGTGAGGTGACAGAGCCGGGACGGGCAGGGACCGCGCTGAAGAGGAGGCGGGGGCGAGGACGCACTCTTGCGCATGTGCCTACCGTCCCGACGGGCGGCGAGGGGCGGGGTTTCGCAGGGAGGGGCGGGGCTTTCGCAGATTGGCTAGGTTAGTTAGGGACGATTGTGGAAAACGGAAGGTGGAGGTGGGCGTGTCAATCTGACGCGAATGCGCGCACTGTGCGTGATGACGTAGGGGACGTTGATTGGGAGCGGAACTACAGCCCGTGCGTGCGCGGTACCCCGCCTTCTGTCCAAATTGATCTGTTCCTTGCACCTAAGGTAGGCGGTTTGGGAGTGTTGTCTGCGTGCATTGGTTTCCGGCCAGGGCCGCCCTCGGCCTGCTTCGCTCTCTGTCTTGCGCGTCCTTCTAGCCTTACCGCGGAGCAGGGCTAGCACAAAGCGTGCGGACCTGCGTGGTAGAGACAGTTTCTGGTCCCAGTTCCGTCTTCCGTAGGGGGCGGCACCTGGCCTTTGAGGCCCACCTACGTTTGAGACTCCGCTGGGCGTGGCTGGAGGAGGCGTTGGGGGAGATTTTTGGGCGTGATGTAGAGTAGTGGGTTCGCTGGAGGGCGGAGTATTCTGGAGCAGGAATATCGTATGTCCAGCTGGTGCCGGAGGCCAGACGGGACCTCCAGGTTGGGCTGCCCCAGCACACCAATCAGAGGACCACCCGGGCCACCACCAGCCCAAAAAAGGCCCTAAGGGATAGCTGCAGTGAAGCTGCTGCTGGAATGATGCCCATGACTAATGGATCTCAATCACTGAGAGATCTGGAGGCAGCAGGATCCGCTTCCACATTCCTCACGAATAATCTCGAGACTTAGGAGCCTAGGATTCGATATTTTTTAGGTTTAAATTTGCTTGTTACTGATCATAACTTTATTTCACCGGGTGAGCAGTAAACACTATGTCAGGTTGGGAGTCTTATTACAAAAACGAAGGCGATGAAGAAGAAGAAGAAGAAGAGGGCCTTGAAGCAGGTGGTAAGTGGTTTTAACCTTTGCTGTTCTGTGTGTAAGAAAGCCTTTCCCTGTCTATTTCTGCTGTTTCATGGCTCACCCTTCTCTCCCCAATGTCCAGTGCTTTTTCCCTTTGAACTTTGCAGAGCTACCCTAGACTCTTTTATTCAGATTCTGCTCTAGTCTATGGGACATTCCTAGCCTTGACCTTTTTACTGGGTACTGGTAGCTTGACATCTATTAGCTCCAATAACTGACTCCGAGCATTGGTATCCTTTGAGTCACTTTAGGTGGCCCAGGTAAGACCCTTCCTCACCCAGGAAAGTTATTTTACTCATCGTAGGACCTCAGTAGCAATACAGTAGTACTGTAGTACTACAGTAACTGCAGCAACCAAAGAGAAAACATTAGCAACACAGTTATAAGAGTCATTCCCTCGCCATAGCCTCCAGGTTTGGGAGTATATGTTCAGACAAGACAGTAAGACAAAGGATAAACGAAGATAAATAAGGGGTACATGTAATCTACATACTGGTTGATTTAAGTCCTGGGTAAGACAATTTTAAAGTGTTTTTACTAAAAGTGAGAAACAGGGGCACCTGGGTGGCTCAGTTGGTTAAGTGTCTGACTTTGGCTCAGGTCATGATCTCACCCTTGGTGAATTTGAGCCCCACATCTGGCTCACTGCTGTCAGTTTGGAGCCTGGAGCCTGCTTTTGATCCCTTGTCCCCCTCTGTCTCTCTGCCCCTCCCCCTGCTCACATTCTCTCTCTCAAAAATGAATAAACATTTAAAAAGTAAATAAAAAGGACAAACGTAGGAAATTTAGAACATAAAAGAAAAAATTTACTGTAATCTATATACTCTACCACCCTAATACAGCCACTACCAGCATTTTGGCATTTTGCATTTTTCCTTCATAGATCTTTCATTCTTGTATTTCCTAACTATGTATGTCTGGGTTTTGTTTTTTTTGTTTGTTTTTGTTTTGTATCTGATTTTTTATAGTTAATCATAGTGATATATTTTTCATTTCATTTTTATTTTTTTTAATTATTATTATTTTTTTAATTATTTTTTTTTTCAACGTTTATTTATTTTTGGGACACAGAGAGTCAGAGCATGAACGGGGGAGGGGCAGAGAGAGAGGGAGACACAGAATCGGAAACAGGCTCCAGGCTCTGAGCCATCAGCCCAGAGCCCGACGCGGGGCTCGAACTCACGGACTGCGAGATCGTGACCTGGCTGAAGTCGGACGCTTAACCGACTGCGCCACCCAGATGCCCCTCATTTTTATTTTTAAATTAAAAAATTTTTTATTTTAGTTTTTGTAATTTTGAAAGATTTTTTAAAAGTAATTTTCCCACCCATCTTGGGGCTCAAACTCACAACCTGGAGATCAAGAGTTGCATGCTTTAGGGGCACCTGGGTGGCTCAGTTGAGCGACTGACTTCGGCTCGGGTCATGATCTCACAGTTTGTGAGTTCGAGCCCCGTGTCGGGCTCTGTGCTGACAGCTCAGAATCTGGAGCCTGCTTCGGATTCTGTGTCTCCCCCTCTCTCTGCCCCTTCCCTGCTCATGCTCTGTGTCTGTCTCTCAATAATAAATAAATGTTTAAAAAAAAAAAAAAGTTGCATTCTCTACTGACCGAGCCAGGCACCCTATTTTTTTTTAAACATATATACACAGAGAATCTTTTTTTTTTTTTTAATATGGATATTTCTAGAAAGTATAGTGCTATGTGAAATAAGTCAGATAAAAACAGATACTATGATTTCACTCTTAGATAGAATTTAAGAAAGAAAACAAATGAATAAAGAAAAAAAGAGACAAATAAGAAAACAAACTCTTAAGTATAAAGAAGAAACTGATGGTTATCAAAGGGGAAGTATGTGGGGGCATGGTGAAATAGGTGATGGGGATTAAAGACTACACTTATCATGATGAGCACTGAGTAATGTATAGAATTGTTGAATCACTATATTGTATACTTGAAACTAAAATAACACAGTATGTTAGCCATACTGGAATTAAATAAAAAGTAAAAGTCACACCAGTAGAACGTAAACATGAAATTCACGTAACTATTTGCTTTTGAAACCGTCTGTTAGTACCCAGCAATCAACTGGTCAAGCATGAGCTCTTTGTGGAGCCTGACACTGCTCTTGGCAATGGGGTAAACAAAGTCCTTACTTTTGAGGATCTTGCCAGGCCAAGGAGTAGATGAGTTAATGCCAAGTATTGATAAGGGCAGTGACAAAGGTAAAATTAGCATTTCGTAATAGAGAATGAATGGTACTGATTTAGCTAGGGTGGTCAGGGAAGGCTTCTCTGAAGAAAGTGGTGTCTAAGTTAAAACCTGAATAAACGTTCTTGTCGAAAAAAGTATATTTGAAGTTATATCACCTTCTATAACTATAGAAGACCATAAGTCTTCTAAGGTAGACCAGATAGTATAAAAAATCAGCTCTGATAATTCAAAAAATCTGTGAAAATTCAACTAAACATCACTAGTAATGTTATTATTTATTGTATAAAAAGCGAGGAATATCTGCTTGATTTTTTTTTTAATTTTTAATTTTAATTTTATTCTTTTTAAAATTTACATCCAAATTAGTTAGCATATAGTGCAACAATGATTTCGGGAGTAGATTCCTTAGTTCCCCTTCCCCATTTAGCCCATCCCCCCTCCCACACCTCCTCCTGTAACCTTCTGTTTGTTCTCTGTATTTATGAGTCTCTTATGTTTTGTCCCCCTCCCTGTTTTTATGTTATTCTTGTTTCCCTTATGTTCCCTTATGTTCATCTGTTTTGTCTCTTTTTTTTTTTCAGCGTTTATTTATTTTTGGGACAGAGAGAGACAGAGCATGAACGGGGGAGGGGCAGAGAGAGAGGGAGATACAGAATCGGAAACAGGCTCCAGGCTCTTAGCCATCAGCCCAGAGCCCGACGCGGGGCTTGAACTCACAGACCGCGAGATCGTGACCTGGCTGAAGTCGGACGCTTAACCGACTGCGCCACCCAGGCGCCCCTGTTTTGTCTCTTAAAGTCTTCATATGAGTGAAGTCATATGATATTTGTCTTTCTCTGACTGGCTAATTTCACCCAGCATAATACCCTCCAGTTCCATCCACATAGTTGCAAATGGCAAGATTTCATTCTTTTTGATTGGAGTAATACTCCATTGTATGTATATACCACATTTTCTTTATCCATTCATCCATCAATGGACATTTGGGCTCTTTCCATCCTTTGGCTATTGTCGATAGTGCTGCTATAGACATGGGGGTGCATGTGTCCCTTCGAAACAGCACACCGGTCTCCCTTGGATAAATGCCTAGTCGTGCAATTGCTGGGTCGTAGAGTAGGTCTATTTTTGGTTTTTTGAAGAACCTCCATACTGTTTTCCAGAGTGGCTGCACCAGCTTCCATTCCCATATACACAGAGAATCTTAAGCATATATACACAATTTTGAGTTCTGCCTTTTTTCCTCCATGTAATTATATATATGTTGTCTTCATAAGTCATTTTATTTTTTATTTTTTATTTAAAAAAAAATTTTTTTTTTCAACGTTTATTTATTTTTGGGACAGAGAGAGACAGAGCATGAACGGGGGAGGGGCAGAGAGAGAGGGAGACACAGAATCGGAAACAGGCTCCAGGCTCCGAGCCATCAGCCCAGAGCCCGACGCGGGGCTCGAACTCCCGGACCGCGAGATCGTGACCTGGCTGAAGTCGGACGCTTAACCGACTGCGCCACCCAGGCGCCCCTTCATAAGTCATTTTAAATGTACTATAATTTATTCAGTCTGCCTCCTGTTAAACATTTTAGTTGTTTTTTTTTTTTAATAATTTTTTTAGTTTGTTTATTTTGAGAGAGTGAGAGAGAGATCAGGGGAGGGTCAGAGAGAGAGGGAGAGAGAGAAGGCTCCAGACAGGCTCTGCTCTGTCAGCGTGGAGCCAGATGCAGGGCTTGAACCCACAGACTGTGAGATCATGTCCTGAACTTAAACCAAGAACTGGATGCTCAACCATTGAGCCACCCAAGTGCCCCCATTTTAGTTATTTTCAATTTTTAAAAAAATTTTTTAAAGTTTATTTTTGTGAGAGAGAGAGAGAGAGAGAGAGAGAGAGTATGAGTGGGGAGAGGGGCAGAGGGAGATAGGGAGACATAGAATCTGCAGCAGGCTCCAGGCTCTGAGCTGTCAGCTCAGAGCGCTGGATACGGAGCTCGAACCCATGAACTGTGAGATGGTGATCTGAGCCAAAGTCGGATACTCACCTGACTGAGCCACCCTGGTGACCCAGTTTCTTTTTTTCTCCCCAATACTTTTATTTTTATTTTAAAACTTTTCTTTTTTTTCTTCTTTTTTTTAATGTTTATTTATTTTTGAGAGAAAGAGAGCACAAGTTGGGGAGGGGCAGAGAGAAGGAGACCCAGAATCTGAAGCAGGCTCCAGGCTCAGAGCTGTCAGTGCAGAGCCCAATGCAGGGCTCAAATCCATGAACTGTGAGATCATGACCTGAGCCGAAGTGAGACACTTAACTGCCTGAGCCACCCAGGCACCCCAGTTATTTTCAATTTCTTACTTTAATAAGCAACACTGTGGAAAATTCTGCATAAGGGATTTTTCATATCTTATGTTCTTTTGATTGCTAAGAAGTAGAATTCACTGGGTCAAGGTAGAATTTTTGTTTAGGGGTCTTGACCCATAATCATGTTGTTTTACAGATGGGCAATTACATTTATTGTATTAGAAAGCAGCAGTATCAAAAAGGGAGACAACCAGATATTTTATGTGTTTTGTTTTTTAAAAAAAAACTAAACATCGCCTATGATGCCAAAAAAGGGAATAGGAAACTTGAATCTGACGAAGCCTCTCTAGGTCCTCAGTAGAAAAGACAGAGGACTGTGTTTGTCTACACCAAAAGAATGCAGTCAGCAAAATCCATAATGTGGAAAACTGTACATAACACAACATTCTGGTTCTTCAACACAACACACAACACACAAAAGATGGAAGGGGTATCTATAGATTAAGAGGCTTCAAAAACATTTTTTTTTTTTTCAAGTCAAAACTAGTGTTTAGGAATGTTCACTTGGGGGTGTCTGGGTGGCTTAGTAGGCTTAGTGTCTGCCTTGGGTTCAGCTCATGGTCTCACGGTTCATGGGTTCGAGCCCCCCACTGGGCTCTGTGCTGACAGCTTGGACGGAGCCTGGAGCCCGTTAAAGACTCTCTATTTCCTTCTCTCTCTCTGCCCCCCCCCCCCCTCAAAAATAAATAAACACTAACAAAAAAATTTAGACAGGAATGTTCACTTGGACGATAAAACTATAAAGAAAGTAAGGAAATGATTATTAAAAATCAGGATAGTGGTTACTCTTGGGAGGAGAGTGGGCATTGTAATGGGATTTTTTCTATTTTATATGAATAATAATAAACATCATAAATATGAGCACAAGAGCAAACATTTTCTCCTGTTTTTTCCCCCATAGGAGAATATACATATTCAGGAAGAGATAGTTTGATTTTTTTGGTTGATGGTTCTAAGGCCATGTTTGAATCTCACAGTGAAGTTGAACAGACTCCTTTTGACATGAGCATCCAGGTAAGACTACCTTTTATTTAATTTAAAAAAGGAAATGAAAGAAAAAATTATTAACACCACTTTAAAAATTATGCACTCTGAAAATTTGTTGGTGAATGATAATTAGTGGTTAGCCTCCCAGGAATGCTACCTATACTCTGAGATAAAAAAGGGTAGCAGTGCTGGAGAACAGGCCTGTTTTATTTTGTGTTTGAACTTCAGACCCTAGTAATACGTTGCTCCCACCTTCTGTGTTAGCTCTGGTAGCACAGGAAGGCTCCTCCTGTAGAGGTGTGAGTGTGAACGAAGAAGGAAAGTTCCAGCAGATACGGTGTCAAAGTGAGTCTTCTTGTAATTGGTATTTGGAAGTTGAGTATTACCTGTGGTTGAAAAATACTACAACAAAAAGACAATCTAATTTAAAAATTGACATAGACTTGGGGCACCTGGGTGGCTCAGTTGGTTAAGCGTCCTACTTCAGGACGCTCAGGTCATGATCTCGCGGTTCGTGGGTTCGGGCCCCACATCAGGCTCTGCTGACAGCTGAGAGCCTGGAGCCTGCTTCAGATCCTGTGTCCCCTTTCTCTCTGTCCCTCCCCCATGCGTGCTCTGTGTGTCTCTGTCTCTCCCTCTCTCTCAAAAATGAACATTAAAACATTTTTTAAAAAATGGGCATAGGACTTGAATATACATTTCTCTAAAGATACACAGATGGCCAAGGAGCCCACAAAAAGACCCACAACATCTGTAGTCCTTAGAGAAAAGCAAACCGACACCACAGTGAGGTATCACAAGTCACTAGCGTCGCTATAATATAGAGAGGAAAAAAAGGATACTAAGAAGTGTTGGTGGGGCGCCTGGGTGGCTCAGTCAGTTAAGCATCCAACTTTTGCTCAGGTCATGATCTCACGGTTCGTGAGCTCGAGCCCCGTGTCGGGCTCTGTAATAACAGTTCAGAGCTTGGAGCCTGCTTTGGATTCTGTGTCTCCCCCTGTCTCTGCCCCTCCCCCATTCATACTCTGTCTCTCTCTCTCTCTCTCAAAGATAAATAATAAAACATTAATAAAGTAAAATAAAATAAAATAAAATAGGTTAATTTGGGGATGCCTGGCTGGCTTATTCATTAAAGCATGAGACTCTTGATCTTGGAGTTGTAAGTTCAAATCCCATGTTGGGCATGGAGTCTGCTTTAAAATACAATGGTTAATTTTGTTATGTGAATTTTACCTCAAAAAAATAACCATTTCTTGGGGCACTTGAGTGGCTCATTCGGTTAAGTGTCTGACTCTTAATTTCTGCTCAGGTCATGGTCTCCTGGTTCATGAGTTTGAGCCCTGCATCAAGCTCCATAGTGACAGGGCAGAGCCTGCTTGGGATTTTCTCTCTGTCTGTCTCTCTTTGTCTCTGTCTCTCTCTCTCTGCCCCTCCCCTGCTCATGCGCCTGCCCTCTCTTTCTCTCTCTGTCTCCCTCTCTCTTTCTCTCTCTCTGTCAAAATAAACTTAAAAAAAAAGAATAAAACAAAAGATTACCATGTCTTTATACAGAAGAATTACAAAGACTTATTGTATATCTTATATTTTTAGAGTTTGGAACCAAACAGAAGCTTCTCATTTTCTAATTTGTATACAAGCAGTTCTTGTTTTGGGCAAATCAGAATATCTTGCATCTAGAAAAAAATGAGAACAGTCCTTAACTTTAACTTTAAGGCAGTGTTTTTCAGAATCACACTCAGGGCTTGTTAGCTAGCACAGATTGCAGGGACTTACCCCACAATCAGAATTTCTGATTCTGTAAAAGTCTAGTGCTGGGACCAAGAATTTGCCTTTCCAGCAAGGTCCCAGGTGACGCTGCTGTTACTAGCTTGGAGATTACTCTTTGAGGAGCACTGCTTTAACCTTTTTTGGACTCATGGACCTCTCTGAGGATATGATGACAGCTGTGTACCCTGTCTTCAAAAAGATACAGTCATAGTTCTGCATGTAATTTCAAAGGGTTTTTAGAAACCTTGATGCCTGAGTAACGTGCCGCTGACTGTGCAGAGCCTGCTTGGGACTCTGTCTCTCTCTCTGCCCCTCCCCTGCTCTCTCTCTGTCTCTCTCTTAAAAATAAATAAATAAATTCAAGCTTAAAAAAATGTTTTAGAAACCTCAGTGCCTAAAGAACCCTTTTTGTCTGCGCCCCCCTCAAAAATAAACATAAAAAAAGAACCCAGAATAGAATGTAGTATCATATAGCAAATAATTGAGACATTCACGGATGAGTATAATGTATTTAATAAGCAATGAAAAAACATTTTCTCAAATTCTTTTTTTTTTTTTCTTAATTCTTAGAACCTAAAAGAAGCCCTCACAGATTTTTGTAAACGTTTATAGGCTCCTCAAAGTAGATTAAAAGTCATTGGGACGAGGGGCGCCTGGGTGGCTCAGTCAGTTAAGCGACTGATTCTTGATCTCAGCTCAGGTCTTGATCTCAGTGTCATGAGTTCAAACCCTGTGTTGGGCTCTGTGCTGGGTGTGAAGCCTACTTAAAAAAAAGAGTTATGGGGATGAAAAATACAGCATAGGGGGAATATAGTTATGGTATGGTAATAGCATTATATGGTGACAGATGGTAGCTACACTTGTGAACAAAGCATAATGTGTAGACTTGTCACGTGACTATGTTGTACACCTGGAACTGCTGTAACATGTCAACTATACTTCAGTAAAAAGATAATAGATTAAAATACTTATAGGAATAACTCCTTGCAATGCAGATTGTTGTCGGTGAGTAGACACAGTTTAAGTTCTGCATTTGTTATTTATTATTAATTTTTTTTTATGTTTTATTTTTTACATTTGAGAGAGAGACAGAGACAGTGAGTAGGGGAGGGGCAGAGAGACGGAGACAGAGAATCTGAAGCAGGCTCCAGGCTCCTCCGAGCTGTCAGCACAGAGTCCGACACGGGGCTGGGACTCGCAAACCATGAGATCGTGACCTGAGCCCAAGTCAGACGCTTAACTGACTGAGCCACCCCGGCGCCCCTTAAGTTCTGCGTTTAGGGAGAGAATTACTTTTGAGGAAGTCTGGGTAGAGTCTTCAGCCAGGCATGGGGGCAGGTTGGGGGGTGTCGCCATGGTCTCTCTATTTCTCAGCTCTGCACATTCAGAAACTTCATGTCAATGCCTCCCAGAATTAAGTAGGTCAAAGGACTGACCAGCTGTTATGAGACCCTGATTTACTCGATGCTGACCTTAGTTTCTTTTCTCATTTATCTATTTATTTTAAAGATTTTAGTTTTAAGTAATCTCTACACCCAACGTGGGGCTCGAACCTACAACCCTGAGGTCAAGAGTTGCGAGCTCTACCGACTGAGCCAGCCAGGTGCCCTGATGCTGACCTTAGTTTAAATGGGTAGATAGGACTTTCCTGGAATACTGGTGTACTTAATTGTGTAATGAAGCACATTTTATTCCAGAAGATGCTGTTAGGAAAAAAAATGCTGTTAGTAGTTATGGACTTATTGTTGGGTCACATCTAATTATTGTTAGCCTAAACCTTTTATATACATAATTATTTTATGTATGTAAATTATGTTTCTTGGTATCAAGCTACTTGAGGGATGGGATCAAGTGGCCTGTTCAAACTCAGTCAGTTAAGTAAATGGCATTAGTGGGACCCACATCCAGATTTTCTGATTCCAATACTGGGCTGTTTTTCCCCCTTATAGCAGAATTTCCTCCCTGAGTATATATGTTTTTAATTCTCTGATTTCTTATGGTAGGAACTGCTTATACTTCTGTTATCTACTTACCACACTCTGCCTTCTGTTATAGTGTAATATATATGCCCATCCCTCTCACTGATTCATGACTTTCCTGAAGATACGGGTCATTCCTTAACCTAATGCCATGTATAAATTTACCTACGACGTGCAAGGCACTTATGGAGCTTAATTTTAGTGGTGAGTAGTTAAGTATTAATCGGATTTTATTTTGATTTTTATCAGTGTATCCAGAGTGTGTATACCAATAAGATCATAAGCAGTAATCAAGATCTCTTGGCGGTGGTGTTCTATGGTACTGAGAAAGAAAAAAATTCAGTGAATTTCAAAAATATTTACGTCTTACAGGAGTTGGATAATCCAGGTCAGTAGTATTCTAAGATCAGCTTTTCCCTTACATTGGAAGGTCACTACCCTGAACAAAGAGGGGCGTGGAGAAGGAGGTAGATCCTGGGTTGAGGACTTTGTGGGTTAAACACCTCCAGGGTGAGAATAGGACCCTAGGCTCTTCTTTTAGCCTTACCAAAGCAGCACTGACACCATTCTGATTTTTCTGCCCGTTTGTGACTTCCTGTCTCTGATCAGGTGCTAAGCGAGTGCTTGAGCTCGACCAGTTTAAGGGGGAGCAGGGGAAAAAACATTTCCAAGATCTCATTGGCCATGGATCTGACTACTCACTAAGTGAAGTGCTGTGGGTCTGTGCCAACCTCTTTAGCGATGTCCAGGTCAAGATGAGCCATAAGAGGATCATGCTGTTCACCAATGAAGATGACCCCCATGGCAATGACAGTGCCAGAGCCAGCCGGGCCAGGACCAAAGCTGGGGATCTCCGTGACACAGGTTGGCATTTTTCCTGATCTTTTAAGTTGGCACTTAATCTTACTACTTCTCTATAGATGATGTCAAACATTTGCTTTTCACCATTCAGAGTGAAATAAAAGAATAAAATGAAGTTACACAGGTATAACATTCCTGCTAAAAATAACTAGGCCATTAACTTTCTTTTTTTCTTAAGTTTATTTATTTATTTTGAGAGAGACAGAAACAGCTCAAGTGGGAGGGGGGCAGAGAGCGAGGGAGAGAGAGAATCCCAAGCAGGCTCTGCAATGCAGGGCTCGAACTCACGAAACTATGAGATGACGACCTGAAACCAGGTGCCCTTAGGCCATTGGCTTTCTGAAGGGCTCCACTAGAGTGAGCTTTTCTTGACTTTTCATGCTACCAGGCGTGGCAGTGGTTTGAATAAGTTGTCATTATAGCAGCTGACTCCCTTACTGATTCTTTAAGTCCTGAAAACGTTAATAATCCCACGAGTTCTTTGCATATTTGAGCTCAACTGAAAAAAATTCTCACTTGATGAAAACTGTTTGTTTTCCCCTCACTTTTGGCTGTCCTTGCCCCAGGTATCTTCCTGGACTTGATGCACCTGAAGAAACGTGGGGGCTTTGACATATCCTTGTTCTACCGAGATATCATCAGCATAGCAGACGATGAGGACCTAGGGGTTCACTTTGAAGAGTCGAGCAAGCTGGAAGACCTGTTGAGGAAGGTTCGAGCCAAGGAGACCAAGAAGCGCATGCTCTCCAGGTATGCTCGAACCTGGGCTAGTTGCCCACAAGTCCCCTACTTAATCTTAAGCACCGCATTGCCTTGACCTCCCTGAATACTTACCTCTGGGCTGTGCCTCACTGTCTTCCTCTAAAACACTTGCTTTACTTCAGGATGGACAAGCTGTTTGCTGCTTTTTCTCTGGAAAGAGCTGGTATGCTAGTTTTCCAAAATAACACAGCTCTCTGCTTGCTTGGGGTAAACAGTTGTGGCCTAACGCTGTCCTCAGTTGCATGCACTAGTATATCGTCTGCTTTCTTCTCCTCTGTAAATTGTGGATAACAGCAATACCTAGTATAGAGCAAAAACTCAGAAAGTGCTAGTTATTTTCTCTGTTGTTAAGTTATTCTGATTTCTTTTTTTTTTTTTTTTAAGTTTTTGAATGTTTATTTTTGAGAGCGAGAGAGACAGAGTGTTAGCGGGGGAGGGGCAGAGAGGGAGAGAGACAGAATTGGAAGCAGGCTCCAGACTCCGAGCTGTCAGCACAGAGCCCGATGTGGAACTTGAACCCACAACCCTTGATAATCATGGCCTGAGCTGAAGTTGGATGCTTAACCGACTGAGCCACCCAGGTGCCCTAAGTTATTCTGATTTCTTTTTTTTTTTTTTTCAACGTTTATTTATTTTTGGGACAGAGAGAGACAGAGCATGAACGGGGGAGGGGCCGAGAGAGAGGGAGACACAGAATCGGAAACAGGCTCCAGGCTCTGAGCCATCAGCCCAGAGCCCGATGCGGGGCTCGAACTCCCAGACCGCGAGATCGTGACCTGGCTGAAGTCGGACGCTCAACCGACTGCGCCACCCAGGCGCCCCTATTCTGATTTCTTATAAACCTGAGACCAATAGGAACCAGATTGTTAGATTATCTTCTTTTTTTCTTTTCTTGTTTATTTATTTACTTAGAGACAGAGCATTAACAGGGGAGGGGTGGAGAGAGAGGAGAGAGAGAATCCTAAGCAGGCTCCTCACTGTCAGTGCAGAGCCCAACGTGGGGCCCAAACCCATGAACCGTGAGATCATGACCTGAGCTGAGATCCAGAGTTGGACAGTTAACTGACTGAGCCACCTAGGCACCCTAGATTATCCTTAGAGAGTGTTGGCATTAGAATCCTAAGGGCTCCCCTATGTTGTTTTCTGAAGGTTCACATCAGGCTTTCATTTTAGACTAGTTTCTACAACATACGAGAATATGACCATTGTAGTTTTTGAGCAGTTTTCAAGAGATTACTGACAATTCTACTAGAAAGCCCATGAGATGATTGTAGGAAAAGCACAAACCAGCTCACTGCCACAGCTGTAATACGGCAGTTGGCTCTCCTTTCCTCCTTAGGAATTTCTCCTTTCTCGGACAAGCACCCTAGCATCTCTTCTCCCTTCCTGAAGTAGTGGAGTGTTGTTACTACAATTTGGAAATCTGGTACACATTTTGGTGGGGATGGCAGGGAGGGTAAAATAGTAATTAAACGTAAAAGTCCTTGGGGCGCCTGGGCGGGTCAGTTGGTTGGCGTCCGACTTCAGCTCAGGTCGTGATCTCGCGGTCCGTGAGTTCAAGCCCCGCGTCGGGCTCTGTGCTGACGGCTCAGAGCCTGAAGCCTTCTTCGGATTCTGTGTCTCCCTCTCTCTCTGCCCCTCCCCCTCTCATGCTCTGTCTCTCTCTGTCTCAGAAATAAATAAACATTAAAAAAAATAAATAAATAAAAATAAAATAAAATGAACGTGAAAAGAAAAACAGAAGATAATCTAACAATCTGGTTATTAGTTGTCTGTCCTCGGTGAAGTTAGATAACCTCTCTCTGAGCCTCATTGTTTTCAACTGTAAAAAAGGACAGTAATGAGGTTTTTGGGTGATAAACAACAGAAACTGGCTCTTGACTAATTTCAGATGTTGTAAGCCTGAACAGGGTGATCAGTATAGGAACCAGGGTGGCACCAGGAGTCCAGATAGCAAGAACTAATCACCGTGTCCTCAGGGTACCACTGTCATAAAGCATCCCCTGCAACCTTGTCCTTCCTTGGTCACCGCTTATGACCTAGACTGTCAGGAGAATAGGTCTGACTGCTTAAGCCTAGGCCAGATATGCCCACCACTTGGCGAGAGGAGGGTATAGTACTTTGATTAACATTCCCCCAAAACTGCAGTGGGGGAAGGGTGGTTCCCAAAGAAAAATTGGGGTTTCATTGTTAAAAGGGGGAGGGGATACTAGGCACAAGCAGAATTATATGATTATATATAGATCATATATATATATAGATCATATATATATGTCTATATATCTATATATAGGTCATATAATACAGGGTTATTATGATGATTGAATGAGAAAATAGCTATAAAGTGATGGTGCAGTGCTGGGCTCAATAAAAATAACCCTTATTTTTATTACAGTGCATTCTTTATCATTATTTTAAGTAGTTAACAATACTGAAACTAATTTTTGTGGTGTAGACCCTGAGGTAATGTTATAGCAAACTCCACTGTGTTATTAAAATGTATTCTATTTATATTCTAAGAATTTGGATTATTGGAGAGAGTAGAATTTAGCTAGGAAAGCATAATCTTTCAGTCCCGTGTTTGTTTGTTTTTATACTTTTCTCTCCTCCAGCCTGAAGCTTAAACTCAGCAAAGATATAGCGCTCACTGTCGGCATTTATAATCTGGTCCAGAAGGCTTACAGACCTCCTCCAGTGAGACTTTATCGGGAAACCAATGAACCAGTGAAAACAAAGACCCGGACATTTAACGTGAACACAGGCAGTTTGCTTCTGCCTAGTGACACCAAGAGGTCTCAGGTAGGCCTGCTTTCTTACTGAGTTTTGTCCCATTGAAGAGTCAATAGGGAGGGAGACATTGATCAGCCTAACTAGTTAAGTGTCTTTCATGTATGTATGCATCTTTGTAGCTAAGCTGTTAAAGCATAAAGCCATTACTGTTTGGAACTATGGCATATAGATCATTTTTTTTTTTAATTTTTTTTTTACATTTTATTTATCTTTAAGAGAGAGAGAGAGAGAGAGAGAGAGAGAGACAGAGCACAAGTGGGGGAGGGGCAGAGAGAGAGGGAGACACAGAATTAAAAGCAGGCTCCAGGCTCTGAGCTGTCAGCACAGAGCCCGATGCGGGGCTTGAACCCACGAACCGTGAGATTATGACCTGAGCCGAAGTCAGTTGCTTAACCAACTGAGCTACCCAGGTGCCTCTAGATCATCTTTTTTAAGAGACTTTATTTTTTTAATTATTTATCTTTTTTTTAATAAATTTTCTTTAATGTTTATTTTTGAGAGAGACCGAACACGAGTGGGGGAGGAGCAGAGAGAGAGGGAGACACAGAATCCGAAGCAGGCTCCAGGCTCCGAGCTGTCAGCATAGAGCCTGATGTGGGGGGTCAAACCTACAAACCACAAATCCTGACCTGAGCCAAAGTCAGACGCTTAACAAACTGAGCCACCCAGGCACCCCCTAAAGATTTTATTTTTAAGTAATCTCTATACCCAATGTAGGGCTTGAATTTACAACCCCAGGATTAAGAGTCACATGCTTCACCGGCTGAGCCAGCCAGGCATCTAGAGCATTAATACCTTGAGAGCTAGAAAGTTAGAGCCAGTGTTTGAAAGAGATGTCAGTGGAAACTTTAGCCCTGACCACTCTGCATTCTGTTCTAATAGTTAAATTCCTTGCTTGCGTATGGTAGCAGAAAATGCTTTAGAATCAACTAGGGAGATGAATGAAGCAAGTATGTTAGATGTAAACCGCACTTTTTTAGGGAGAGTTTTGGGTTTTTTTTCCCTTCCCCAAACGAAATTTTCTCCAATGCTTTGAAATGATACACGTATGCCTTTCGTAATCAGAAGGACAGACTGAGAACGCAGAACGTCGTCTTCCCTCATTCTCTCACCTTTGTGCAATCTGAGGAATGATTTGGTATCTAAAATTAAAATCAAATGAGTCATCCTTTTTAATTATACAAAATGTGGGAGAGAATCTGAGATTTTTTTTGCATAAGGTAAGGACCAACCAAGGATCAACTAAGTATCTCCACGTAGCCTCTTTATGTGGCCCTCGTGTTCCCCTTCCTTTAGATCTATGGGAATCGTCAGATTGTGCTAGAGAAAGAGGAAACAGAAGAGCTGAAACGGTTTGATGAACCAGGTTTGATTCTCATCGGTTTCAAGCCCTTGATAATGCTGAAGAAGCACCATTACCTGAGGCCCTCCCTATTTGTGTACCCCGAGGAGTCCCTGGTAAATGGTATGTGACTTCGATCAAGGGTAAATGAATGAGTAACAGAAGGTAGTTTACCGAGCGAGCTGCTTGCAAACTGGATAGGATGGCTTAAGGGGGTATTTTGAAAGTGTTTCTGGTCAGATAAGCTTTGGAAATTTGGGACTAAACAAAGTTAAAGAGATTTCTTTAGGACCTATAATACACTGCTATGCATTGTGAGTATCCGGAGGGTGGCGGGGGGAGATATGGAATTAGTATTTTTAAAACTTACTTCCTATGGAATTCTTTCTTTGAGGCATCAGGTACAGAGTTAACAAAGAAGAAAAACCAGTTTCTTCCTTCGTGTCGGCAATTAAAGATGATACGAATTAGGTCGTTGGGTTTGTGCTGTCCAGACCTCTATTCCTCTGTGCTGTAGCTAATGAACCCCCTGGATTTGACCTGATTGGCTTTCATTAGTAACTGGGGCTTACTTACATTGTCAGCCTAAATATAGTAAAAGTGAACTAATGTTAATAATTCACACCTCTAAATGGGGTGTTCGAGGCATCTAATCGCTTTCTCTTCCTTTCTGTGCCTCTGCTGCTCGTCAGCTCTGGGCTTCTCACACCTTACTTGTTGAAGTATCACAAGCCCTTTTAAGAAAATGGGAGAGAAATTGTAGGCTTATAACATGAGCTACCAGGGAAAAAAGGAGACACTTTTGGGACGCAGATCCTTGGGCCGTGTGTTTTTTAGGGAGCTCAACTCTGTTCAGTGCTCTACTCACCAAGTGTCTGGAGAAGGAGGTCATGGCGGTGTGCAGATACACCCCCCGTCGGAACACCCCTCCTTATTTTGTGGTCTTGTTGCCACAGGAAGAGGAGCTGGATGACCAGAAAATTCAGGTGACTCCCCCAGGTATGTGGAAGAGATACTTTCAGTGCTACTGAACTTTGCTCAGACTTTGGAATCACTCATGGGATTCCAACTCAGACCTGCTGAACCACAGTCTCCAGGAATGGGGCATTTGTGCATTTTCAGGGTTTCACAGATGACACAGATGCAGAGCAGGTAAAGCTGCCAAATATGGTTGTGCAGTGCACAACATGTACAGCTGTACAAGGCAGCTCTATAGCCACAGTCGAGAATTGGCTGCATAGGGACTGTTGGCAGGTTAGTGACCAAGTTGATGGCTCACTGCTGATACTTTTCTTTACTAAAAGCAATTCTTTGGCACCCTTGAAATGTTAAAAAAAAATTTTTTTTTTTAACGTTTATTTTTGAGACAGAGAGAGACAGAGCATGAACGGGGGAGGGGCAGAGAGAGAGGGAGACACAGAATCGGAAGCAGGCTCCAGGCTCTGAGCCATCAGCCCAGAGTCCGACGCGGGGCTCGAACTCAACGGACCGCGAGATCGTGACCTGAGCTGAAGTCGGACGCTTAACCGACTGAGCCACCCAGGCGCCCCACCCTTGCAATGTTTAATGTTTGGTTTATCTTCTGCATACACCAAGGCAGTGATGTGTAGTAGAAAGACCATGGGTTTTGATGTCATACTTGACCATATCTTACTCTTATGTGTGGAAAAGTTTACTTTCTTTTGTTTCAGGCCCGTCTCTGCCACACGTCACCTGGCTAACTTTGGCAAATAATTTTAACTTTTCTGTTTATATTCCTTGCCTGTAAAGATGAGAATTCTGGAACACCTTTCTCTTCAGGTTGTTTCACATTTGAAATAAGTTAATAAATGTACAAGTGCCTAGCCCAAAGTAGCCACGAGAAGGTAGTCTTCTTTTTTTTAGCCATGTTTTTTTTAAATTTTTTTTTTCAACGTTTATTTATTTTTGGGACAGAGAGAGACAGAGCATGAACGGGGGAGGGGCAGAGAGAGAGGGAGACACAGAATCAGAAACAGGCTCCAGGCTCCAGGCTCCGAGCCATCAGCCCAGAGCCCGATGCGGGGCTCGAACTCACCGACCGCGAGATCGTGACCTGGCTGAAGTCGGACGCCCAACCGACTGCGCCACCCAGGCGCCCCATTAGCCATGTTAATAAAAATGAATTTTGTGGAGAGCCTAAGTCAATTAAGCGTCCACCTCTTGATTTCAGCTCAAGTCATGATCTCACAGTAGTGAGACTGAGCCCCACGTCGGGCTGTGTGCTGACCTCTCAGAGCCTGTTTGGGATTCTCTCTCCCTCTGTCTACTCTCCCCTGCTTGTTCTCTCAAAAATAAATGGATGAGCATTAAAAAAAAAAGAAATCCCAACTTTTTTTTTTTTAATGAACTTTATAAAGTAACTCTTTGAATATGTTATATCTCTAGCCCTGGTTGTCAAAATGCTGAGGAATAGCTTTGCATATCAGTTAGTAAACTCTTGTCTGTCAGCTCCAAATCCCTCCTGTTATGCTCTGTGCTGCCGAGGCCGAGACTCTCCAACTCGGGTTCCTCCTTTGCCAGCTGGCTCGCAATGAGGCTCCGTCAATAGTGAGTGCTTAGAGCGAGACTGTAGGGCAGAGGAGAGCAGAGGGACTTGCTCCTTCCTCTTGCTCAGTGTCGTGGGCATTGCTAGCCAGGGCCCCTCACCTGGCAGCAGCAGTCGGTTCCAGTCTAGATTTTGCAGCCTTTTAGAACCTGACAGAAAACTGGAACAAGATCGGCCTGATAACCCTTCCTCTTTACTTTTTGTGTGTGGAGGCGGTGGGGGAACAGAGGGGAGAGGCTGAGGCTCAGAGGAGGGCCTGATGGAGCTGGGTCTCAGCCCTCCAGGGAGGGGGCACTGTCTAGCTGGCTCTGGGTGTGTCCAGAAAGCTGGAGACTGGATCCAGCTGTTGCTGGCCCGCGAAGAGCCCTGGCCGGGCCACTGCTGGCAGGAACCGGCAGGTATGGGAGGCTCCCGCCTCCCTCTCTGTTCTGGAGGCTGCTAATGGGAATCAGCTGATAGAGGAGAAATAGGGCTGGCAGGGTCCCAGCCCCAGCATCATAGGACATAGAAGGGTGAGTGTGAAGTTGAGAGACAAATGGCGACTCCACAACTGAAACCGTTTGTTGAGTCAAATCTTGGGAAACTAATGTCCTTTCTTCAGGCTTCCAGCTTGTCTTCTTACCCTATGCCGACGATAAACGGAAGGTGCCCTTTACTGAAAAAGTCATGGCAAATCCAGAGCAGATAGACAAGATGAAGGCCATTGTTCAGAAGCTCCGTTTCAATTACAGGTGAGTAGTGGGTTAGTGTCAGGCCTTGTTCTGGAACTGTCTCCTGGGGTGAGAGGATTATTTTACTCCCATGCTGCTGCTGAGCGTGGGAAGAAAAAGTATTCAGTTTCTTTCTCTCCATATCCTACCACCTCTCCTTTGTCTTTTTTTTTTTTTTTTTTTTTTTTAACTTCCATGGCTCTGCCTTCTCCATTTCTCTCTCTCTGCCCACAGCTTCCAGTGACAGACAGATGGGCAGGGATTGTTAGCTTTTAAGTGAGCTTTTAGGGGCATCTGGGTGGCTCAGTCCGTTAAGCATCTGTCTTCGGCCCAGGTCATGATCTCATGGTTCGTGGGTTCAAGCCCGCGTCAGACTCTGTGCTGACAGCTCAGAGCGCAGAGCCTACTTCAGATTCTGTGTTTCCCTCTCTCTCTGCCCCTTCCCTACTCGCGCTCTGTCTCTCTCTGCCTCTTAAAAATAAATAGTTAAAAAAATTTTTTTTAATATTATTATTTTTATTTGTGAGAGACAGAGCACATGCAGGGGAGGGGCAGAGAGGGAGGGAGACACAGAATCCGAAGCAGGCTCCAGGCTCTGAGCTGCCAGCCCAGAGCCTTATGTGGGGCTCGAACTCACAAACTGTGAGATCATGACCTGAGCCGAAGTCAGATGCTTAACTGACTGAGCCACCCAGGCACACCCCGCCCCCCAATTTTTTTTTTTGATTGGCTTTTGGATTCCAATAAATTGGAAATTGGAGAGAGAAAAGTTGATTCCAGAGACAAGACTCCCAGCTGTTTTATCTGGGCTCTTTTCCTCAGCTGACCCTGGGCCTGTGGTATCTCAGTTGGGTTTATTTAATTTTGTTATTATTTTTTTTTAATGTTTAAATGCTTCAATTTATTTATGTTACTGTTTTACTAGAAGTGATGCCTTTGAGAACCCAGTGCTGCAGCAGCACTTCAGAAACCTGGAGGCCTTGGCTTTGGATTTGATGGAGCCTGAACAGGCAGTGGATTTGACACGTAAGAAGGCTGGGACTGAGCTCTTTCCATGGGAGGTTTTCGTAACGGTTTCACTCTGGACTGGAAATACGGATGCGTTTTCTAGCATCCTGCAAAGACTCCACCTCGTTTTTCCAGCCTTCTCTGAGAGATTTTCTAGACCAGCATAGACTGTCTCAGAAGAGATTTGGCTCATTCTGCCATAAGAGGAGGAGAGTGTGCCAGACTTCTGCAACCTGCCTTTGAACCAGGCCCCCTCATGACTACATGTTGGTAAAAGTAAAAAAAAAATAATAATAACCTATAACATTTATTGAGCGCTTACTGTGTGCCAGGCACTCTTGGTCCTAGCTGTTGACTCATCCAATTCTGGTAACTATGAGGTAGGCACCGTTGTCCTTATTTAATAGAGAAGGTAGTAATTCTCCAAGGCACTAAGTAGTGAGCGGTGGATCCAGGTTTAGAATCCAGTGCGTCTGGCCCAGAGCCCTTGCTCTGCACCACTGTGTTTCCTGTCTCTCCATCAGACTGTAGGCTCTGCCTCAGAAGATCCTTGTTACCCAGCATCGGGGAGATTTGCCTGGCTGCCTCAGTTGAGCTCTGAGCTCGCTGCCAGTCCCTTTCTTGATTGTGGTTCTCTTATGTATTTCGTAAGAGGACACACACAGTTTAGTGATACAGGTAAATATCAGCTGGGCAACAGATGGGATTTAATGAAGGCTCTTAACAGAGGTTGAAAAGATCAGAACAATTAGTGTGGCCTGCTGAGCTTCCCAGTTATTATTATTATTAAAAAAAAATTTTTTTTTAATGTTTATCTTTGAGAGAGACAGAGTGTGAGCGGGGGAGGGGCACAGAGAGAGGGAGACACAGAATTTGAAGCAGGCTCCAGGCTCTGAGCTGTCAGCACAGAGCCCGACGTGAGGCTCGAACCCACGGACCACGAGATCATGACCTGAGCCGAAGTCGGCCGCTTAACCGACTGAGCCACCCAGGCGCCCTTACTTCCCAGTTATTAATGGTCTCTTTTTACTAGACAAAACAGTCCCAGTGCTAGACATGTAAAAGCTATTGTACCTGTATTATGGTGGTGACTGTTAGCCGGATCTAGCCCAACAGGAACCTTGGAATTAAGCAGCTCATCTTTTTTTTTTTAAGTGAATTTACTTTTCAGAGAGAGAAAGAGCACAAGCAGGGGAGGGGGAGAGAGAGAATCCCAAGTAAGCTCCGTGCCACCAGCACAGAGCCTGACATGGGGCTCGATCCCACAAACTGTGAGATCATGACCTGAGCCGAAATCAAGAGTCGGATGCTCAACCGACTGAGCCACCGAGGTGCCCCAAGCAGCCATCTTTCTTGATGGCCTTTAGATAAATCAGGGAGTAAGTTGCCTGGTCTCCAGCAAGGTGGTGAAGGACATACGCTTTGGAAATACCTGATACAGATTTGAATCCCAGCTCTGCCACTTACTAACTTGAGTAGCCTTGGAATCTTACTTCATCTACCCGAAACTCAGTTTCATTATAGGTAAAATGGGGACAGCAATACTGTTCTTTTTTTTTTTTTTTTTAATTTTCTAATGTTTATTTATTTTTGAGACAGAGAGCATGAACAGGGGAGGGGCAGAGAGAGAGAGGGAGACACAGAATCTGAAACAGGCTCCAGGCTCTGAGCTGTCAGCACAGAGCCCGACGCGGGGCTCGAACTCACGGACCGCGAGATCATGACCTGAGACGAAGTCGGCCGCTTAACCGACTGAGCCACCCAGGCGCCCCGATACTGTTCTTATAAGCTATTGACACCGTCTCGGTCCTGACTCTCAGGAAGTGCTCAAAACACAGTTGTTCCCCTTTATTCCACAGCGTTCTCTCTCTTCCTCACCGGGGCCTTGGTCTCTTCCATTCTGGCTCCTGTCCTGTAATTTTACTGCAAGTTGTGTTTGCTCTTCCTGCCTCTATTTTCAAAACAGTTTTGGCTGCTCTGACGTTTCCTATAACTCCAGGGGCTCAGGTTTCTGTCCTCAGCCCCGCTGCTCTCCCTTTCTGTTGGTTATCTTGGCTGCTCCCCCAGCCTGCTGTATCCCTCATGTCTGTGACCCCCGAGCCTGTCTCCAGCCATACCCTTTGTCCCGGGCTCTGGCCGGAACTGCAGCTGCCTGGTGATGGCTGCTGCAGGCCCCAGGTGTCCCACCGCTCAGACACCCGACCCCTTTGACGCTCGTTCTTTTATGTTCTTTACTCGTTTCCAGTCCGATGTGTATCTTCTTCCCTCTGACACAGGATATGGTTTCCTTTGAATAAATAACTTCCTGAAGACTCACAACTGTTTCTCATTTTCTCTGTTTGGCTTTGTGACACCATGCTTTGTTCTTCTCCTGAGCTGACAGTGCCCTAAGACACCTTTGCTGGACCTGCTTCCCTTTTTTTCTCCTCTAAACATGGGAGCGAGTGCACTAGGTGATCCTGGGCCCTCTGTTTCTCTGTCACTTCACTTCTCCCCACGTGGCCTCCTCAGACTCCACCAGTGGTTCTAAGTGTGCTTCCTGGAACAGCAGCACTGGTGTCTCCTGGAAACTTGTCAGAAATGCCCATGTTGAGCCCTTTCCCAGGCTGACTGAATCTGAAACTCAGGTTGGGCCCCTGCGACCTGTGTCTTACAACAAGCCTTCCAGGTTATTCTGAGACCTGCTCTTAACCTCTAGCACACTGGTTCTCAACTTTGGCTGTACAACAGAATCATCCAGGAGACTTCAAAAAATCTGGCGGTTTAGGCCTCACCCCCAGACCACTTAAATCAGAATCTCTGGGGGGTGGGGTTTGGGCATTGGTATTTTTTAAAAGTCTCAGCTGGTTGCCAGGTTGAGAACCAAAGCTCTCGCAGAGACTCCTATAGTCTGGAACATGGGGCTTCTGTCTCAGCAGGAGCCCAGGTTGGTTGTGACATTGTGCCTTCTTCTGGGCACACCAGGCGGCAGGATCTTCCCTTAATACTTTGGAAACGTGGCCACATGAGGAGATGATGAGATGCTCGTCTCCTCATGCCTGTCCTTGATGTGACACAGCTCAGGTCTCAAGCTCAACAAACCGTATAATGGTTAAGTAACAAAGAAAACAAAAATACTGTCTTTCCCCCAAAGATATCTTTTTTCTGTTGTATCAGTCCTGGGGAATGCTCCTGCCATCCCAGCTGGTCGCCACCTCCCTCTGGCCACCCTACACCTCACATTCTATCTGTACATCCATCAATTCTGCCACTTTATGGTTCCTTATCCCCTCCACCCTCACCCCAGGTTTGGCCTTCTGTCTCACTCTCCTCCCATCCACACACAGCTCAGGATGATCTTTCTTTCTTTCTTTCTTTCTTTCTTTCTTTCTTTCTTTCTTTCTTTCTTTCTTTCTTTCTTTCTTTCTTTTTCTTTCTTTCTTTCTTTCTTTCTTTCTTTCTTTCTTTCTTTCTTTCTTTCTTTCTTTCTTT